AGAAATTTTGTTTAGAATGTTCCCATCATATACTTCTTGGTCAGTGGCGATTTTCTTAAGCATGTGGAAATGTTGAAAATGCGCTTATGCAGCAGTCAGGTGCATTTCAGAGAAGTAGTGCTAACGACACTCCTTGTGAGATTGACGTGAGCAGCCTCAGCTTTTTTGTGACACTAAGGGGTTTTTCTTCTTACTATGAAGTGAGCTTTTATGTAAGAGGCATTATCTGAGCAAAACACAAATTCAACAGTTCATATTTCTCTCTCTTAGTTCAATATTTGCGCTAACTTTCATTAACTTTCTCTATTTCGGTATTGAAGCCTAAGCTAACGAATTTATGGAAAAAATTTTCGTTGTGAATAACTTTCTCCAACCTATTAGGGACTACATCCTTTTCACTGTCGTAATCGTAAACTACACAAGAATATGAGTGGCGCGATTTATGGTACTGTTATTCTTTTGGCGCGAAAGAAGTGGCTGAAGGATGGATAAGTGAGGTAAAGCTGATCGTGTCTCATATGATTGTTTATGGTAGCAATAAATAGATGGAAATATATGACGAAAGGTAGGCGAACAATATTTCATTGCCAGGTCATGTTTTCTCGTAGAAGGGTTCTTTCATTTAATTGACCTATAATATATCTTGTTCTTAATATCAAATTAGGTCGTTTGTAGAATTTCTTGAATTTTACGTTTTATATGAGTTGTCACATCTACTCTGCCACTCCTATCACTTGAATTGGGTCCGTTTTCCTCCCATTCATCGTCCTCAACCATCCTCGAACATTTTGCACCTTGATTCGACTGATGACTGAGGATTTCATCTTCTTTGTCAATGTCAAAGAATACTGGTTGAGTCAGTTCTTCTTGCAATTTTGGATATAACCAAGCTAAGGTGTTTCCATGTGAATTGAAGAACATTGGGCAAGGGGGCTGAACCAGCACCTTGGTTACTGGTGGGCTGCACCATTAAACACTTCGCTATCTTCCCCGTTGTGATATTATAGGTACAAAACATAAATCAATTTTCATGTCACAGACGTGTTATTTCGATTCGGTAACACTGCTCGTCATCATCGTTGATCTTCGTAAAGCGAAGCGATGTTTGCCTCTTTGTGGTTAGGTTTTTTCAGCACAGTGATTCTTAGCACATATTTGTGCCTAATATGGATTCTATATGCAGGTCTAAAATTCCTTTTTTTGTTAGGTGATACCTGAAAGGTCATCCTCTACACTGAAGTTTGCCACTCAATAGTAGTGTACTGTGATGAACTAGTAAGCCATGAAGTATGAATAATGATAGTAATAATTTAATAAATAACGTCAATAGTTGCACACATCACCTATGGCTTCATTAATAATCAAATCAAGCTCTAGCTCTAGCAGACACTGGTGAACCTCCGCTCTCCACTATTGCTCATCAAAATTGCTCAGTTGCATCTGTTTGCTCGATGGACACAAACGATATGCTCATACTTTCTCTATGACACATTTTCTACTGTTCTTTCTTCACGTATTTAGCCTAAGACAGCTTGCCAAGTCCCTCTATGGTATAGCCCTTGGTCTAAGCTCAGCTTGCAACGTCAACAGTCGTCAGTGATAATTAATTTCTCAGTTCTGTGCTCAGTGGCGCATGGACGGCCAGCTGTACACCTCTCTTCGAAATCTAAGAAACCCCCGGTTACGATGACGCAGTGCATTAATGAGCGTTGATTATAAATTGCGTAAACAACCGTACTAGAAAGCTTTTTTTGAGTAACAAGGCTTTGGTATATACAAACGATATAGAAGCAACCAGCATTTGTCAATATTACAGAACGCGGGAAGTCCGTAGTACTTTCTCAGAAAAGGTAAATGGTATTGCGATTTATATCTATTATTTGCGAGGTGCTCAGGTCAAGCTCCATACGAAGTCGTGTGCGGAAGTACGACCTAATGTCCGATAGAGACTTGCAACAAACGGTGCTGACGGTGGACTCGGATTCAGAGGATGACCTTTTCGAGCCTCCGTCGTCCGATCGGCAAAAACTCGTTACGATTGGATCGTCATAGCACCTATCTACGAAATTTTCGCGGAGAGGAAGCGTCAGATACACCAACATATCGTTTTCTTAATAGATATTTGTCAGAAAAATTGTAAAATCCAACTTTCATTTGTCAGAATTACGAGAAATTCACTAGTACTCCACATTTCCTCGTTTTAAAGCGCTAGAAAACTTCATCACATTAACCACTGCACATATTATTGCCCAGCTGTAATTGACGGTGAGTACCACTCTTGAACACTTTGATGTTTGTGTGAAATTGAATTGGAATTTCACCAGGTGCATCTACAACCTGCTTAATATTTTCTTTTCGTAAAAAATACAAAAATGTATTCTCACGGTTGCTCCTCTTCACGTAATTGACTCAGTATTCTTCTTCATGACTTTTTTGTAACGCTGTGCCATGTAGGGGTATGGTTTGTTCGTGATCTCGTTTGTGATGTACCATAGTAATTAATGGTAAATCAAACCCATAAAGTAGATCTGTATTGCTTCAAGATTTAATGAAATAAATTCCGGCTTTTGAAATTCTAGCTCTTCAATCATTGCAATCGCTTTGCACAATACAGCTAAATCTAAGTACCTTGAATATTTGTTTATGAACAAAGTCAACGCCACCACTTCTTTAGTTTGAGACATCGTGATGGGAACCAAGCAAGAAATGTTGAACTGATTGATTGTGGATTGTTTAGGATCTCAAATTACTTGGATACTTGGATGGCCCGCCCTCACTGGTTGAGCGGGCTCCAGCATAATCTCCATTTTTTCGGAGTTTTGCTGGTTTAGCCATTGTGGTTCCCTGGAGTCGCGACGTCAGCCAGGCCAAAGTGAGCCCCATAAGATCGTCGCCACCACGGGCAGTCGCTTCCCTTGTGGATCAGGAGGAGATTTTCCACCACACGACTAGTTTCGTATCAGGACGGTGAAAGATCTTGGTATTGGTTTACTCTCAGCTGGGCTTCCTGATGGAAACGTCGGACTCCTTCTCAACTTGGGGGACCCTGCCAGGGTTATGAATCGTCCCGTTATACATCGCAGCCCGACACCCAGAAACACCTCCTAGCCATGGCGGGGCGGTAAACCGTTCGGTGGGAGAGGACTAGATATGACGAAAGAGCATGCAGACCTACGGTGGAAGTGGAGAAGACGCTCGATAGCTAGCAATCTTCTCGAGAGACAGTTTCACCTGCCCGATATCCGCACAGTGATTTCCCTGTAAAGTCTACGAAAATTCACGAAAGCGAACCGAGTCGCTTATTTCCCGATGTACCTGTCAGTACTACTTCCGTAGTTTTTGAAGCACATAGTGATTTATGGCTACTACATCGCTCACACTCATTGCATAATCTGATTGCCATGAGAAAGGTAGCTGTCATTTCAAATGAGACTGAATCCACACGTTAGTTGGTTGTGTGATGCTGGTGCTACTGACCTGGGACCGTGTGTTGTGAACCATTAACGATAGATAGGGTAGTAAAATGTCTACGAATATTATCAAGAATTTAAAAGCAATAAGCTGCAGAAGTATTACGTTTGTTCTCCATCACTCCAACATTTTCTTCGAAGTTTTATACGTGATGCTAATCCCCTGAAACTTTACAGCTAGGATGATTCGTGTATCGATCCATTAACCGTAGAAATTACTGGTGCACTATTAGAATTTTGTTTGTAAGACAGAAAACCACAACATGACCAAAGACTGCCGTTATGAAGATCAGGCTTAAGTCTTAGCACGGTCATCTTGATTTTTTAAGGAAAACCACTCTCGACGACCACCCAACACATCAGTGAGGGAAAAAGACAGCAGGTCCACAATGCACAGCAGTACACTAAGCGATAAATACTGTAAAATCTAGGAAACCTCTTGTTCCTTTAAATTCTTTATAAGAAAAGGTACATTTCAACAACATTTCTACACGGGTGTCTAAAGCACATGATTGCACCGAAAGGACAAAAAACCGCAATGTAACAATAACTGATTAAAAAGCTATGCTTCAATCTACTCTTGAAGAAACATTAAATACACAGTAACACAACACTACTCTAACTTTAACATCTACGTTAGTCAGTTGTGACGAGCAAACTGATAAGTGTAATCAATCACAAAAGGGATAAATTTCAATACCATGCCTTTTGACAGCTAATTGAGGACTTGATCAAAACCAATTCATACCGGATGAATGTCGATGAGATCGACTTCGTCAGAAATCGATGAGATCTGTGACAACAGTGAGGGTAGAGACCGTAAAGAAGAGAATGCGAAGGCAAAGATACATGAATAGATATTTTAGTGCAACAGACAGTTTCAATTACGAGGATTATACAGCAATTGTTCTTTGTTAAAGGACAAGTGGAAGTCGAATAGTAAGGGAAATTAAAGAGCCATGAGTTAGCAAACCTGGGTTATTAGGTGCACTAGTACATCTCTGCAGGAAATTTGGGTGATATAAAACTTTGTTGAACAGCCGAGAGGTAAGAGACTGGAGACGGTGTGACTTTAAATTTACTTGGGCACATGTAAAAGGTAGGATTTGCAGCCAAGTGGCATTAGTGACATCGTCAGTCCATAGTTTTGCAAAACCACCAAAGAGAATTAACTCTTAATAAATAATGAGCTAAACAATTGCGATACAATGTGGGCAGCCGTGTTGTCCGTAGGCTTTAGGTTCGACATTAATTCGAGGTAGTTTTGACTGGAGTTTTTTGTACTAAGTGATTGATTAGTGGGAATGTAAACATAGAAAGGAAGGTAGAGCCGGCTTATTCGCGACCCCATAAAGCCATCTAAAGAGCGGAAATGCACATAGTAATTGGCTCTCTGGCGTAGTCAGTAATTTTTCTTGCATAGTAAACTAGACAAGAGCACTGTCACGTTCAACTACCCCTGACATTTTGCCAAACTATAACTAACAATGTTCCAGAATGAGGCAAGTGAAAGAGACTTCGATTCAATGCTTAGGTTATTGTTGGATCCTCAGCATCTCCTTGACCCAGTCCCCGTAATACACGAGCGTGACCATTTGCTACAGTACTGCCCTCACTGTGGTCAGCAAGCGGCGGCGTTTCTCCTTGCTCTACCGTATTACATTCGGAGTTCAGTGATTCACTGATGTCCGAAGATTGCACGCGCTCTGCTGTACCACTGCACAAGATTCTCTTCGTCACCAATGACGTTGTCTAGAAGTGAAATCTATGTAGACGATATTACCCGAGCATACGCAGAAGTTTCCAGTGCCATTGCCATTTTTAAATGCATTTTGCAGTTGATTTTGACACATAAATGGATTGAAGAACGGACACTATCCGATGTAGTAAAACTACCGTACTAACCTTTGTGCTCCTGGCAGCACATTCATTTCCCGTTCCGTTAACTCGCTTCCTCCCTCGTTTGTCGTGACGTCTGTGTAGTTCATCCTTCTTCTCTTGTTCTATATACAGTTGCTCAAGCCTCATTTTCTCATTTTCCTCATCATAGTCTTCATCGTCCCACAATAAAATCCTGCACAAGCCTCGTAGAACTCGTAACAGTACTTCCAGCACCGTTCCAACAACCTAGACTTGTCGCTTTAATTCAGCCAAAGTATTAAAGCTCTACAGTGTTCTTCCTTAACTTTTTTCCACATTACCTTTCCTGTCATGTAAATGAACGGAAACACAATGAATAGCAGAATCGCCAAAAGCGTAGCCGTAGGTCGATACTCCAAACAGCAGGATGGTGATACCATACTGTTGCTATCTTAAAAGCACTGTAGTAAAAAATACCTTTAAGAAAGAAGAAGTGAAAAATCGTATTTCTTGCAGAACTACTGAAAGAAACTATTTTTACAAACATAGCAAAGAAACGTAAACAAAGAGGAACTTTTCCTCAATGATTATATGTCCAGTGCAGTGCATAGGTTCGTATATTACCAGTGTTTACTTTGGTTGAATACTTCTGTCTAACTTCATCATGAATAAATTGTTATACAAAGTGAATATTTCCACAAACCCGCTTAATATTTAAGAATTCAAGTGGACTCGAGGTTACTAACATCGTCAATATACAACCACAACGTTGCTGAGATATTTGCAAAACTCTGGACCGCAGGTGTCTATGGTGGGGAACGAACGCGCTATCCTATCCTGTGGCAAAAACATCGATAGAAATAGCTGAGAGACAAGCGAAACGAAGGACCCGCATGGTGTGGTGGTGAACGCGTTACTCCCCGGAAAGGATAACAGCGCGTTCGTTCCCCACCATGGACACCTGCGGTCCAGAGTTTTGCAAATATCTCAGCAACGTTGTCGTTGTATTTCGCTTAGTAACCTGCCATGAAAATTATAGAAGGCAGAAAACAAAACGTTAAACAATGTCAATATAGTAAATCTAATGACTATGTACTAAATTTCACAATCTGTTAAAGTCATTGTTACCTTCAGAACGCATTAAAGTTTCAAGAATTTCAGCTAAATGTTTTTTGGAGGGTGAGAGAAGAAATAATGTAGGCTTAGTTAGGTCTAACATCACGTAATAAAGTATTGATTGGATTTGTACATCCGGTGGTGTTCTGCTTGTCACAAGTTACTATCAGTTATTTTATTGGAATAGACGTCACTTCGGTCGAGTGATGACGTCGAATTTCTAAGGTAGTTCCAAGCCGATCTAACTTTCCATTCTCTGTTCGCATTACCAAATCTAATAAATAATCAAATGGTTTCGAAAGACCGACTTCACTTAACCTCGGCATGAATAATCAGTAACATCTTACGACTTGTTCTCGTTCAAGTTAGCGCGCGGTTGGTATCTCTTCTTCTTCAAATTCGATGGCTGACGTCTCAGCGATTTCGCTTTCCTTAGAGCTTAGACGTGCTATACTATACTATATTTCATTATTCGGTTAACATTTTCTAATTTCAGTAGAGATCTGATTGAATAAACCAACCCAAAAACTTTTAGATCAGAAAATCGTTCTGAGATAAGGTGCCATATCATGTGTGATGGTTGCACTCTCCCTTCCTATTGCTTTTGATTCTTGAAATTCGTCCAAAAAGCTAAACGGTTTTGCGCAGATGTTTGAGTTGTTTATGTTTGAAATTGTGTGCTCAAATAAGGCCCGTAGATAGCTTGTCCTTCAAATCCGATCGACATGGTGTTTTCTGGAACACTTCCTGTGGTTGTTAGCTGACAACTATTGGGCGTTGTTGTGGGCCGGAATGACAGGCAGGACACTAGTTTTAAACATCGCATCCCCACAGATGAAATTCTCTGATTCTAGTGCGTAAGGATCTTAGTTTTCATCTGAATTTCTGTTGCAGTAACTAAAGATAATAAACTTTTGCACGACCCGTCGTTCACTTCTATTGTACGGATCCGAGCGCTTATTGCATTCTATTCATTTCCTCCTATTCATTTTCCCAAAGGTCTTCGGGTTTGCATGTTGGTTCGGCTGCTTCTTGGGAATTTTGCCTTTTTATGAATATCGTAGAATGCTGGCAGAGTTGATTCTCCTTTCAATGTTGCACATAGTTCAGCTAATGGAAAGGTGTCGAACCAGAACTTGCTTCCTGGTAGATTACATCACTTTTCACCGTCCTGCCACAAAAGAACACCTAAATGGCAAACGAGAAGCAGGACAAGTACCCACTACGCACGCAAAGGATGAAAAAGCATAGCGGAGACGATTTTGATGTAAAACTCACCATCCTCGCACAGGAGACTAGAACACCAACGCGCAAACTTATTGAGGCTTTTTGGCTAAATGCCAAGAACCCTACAATGAATGTTAGGAAGGAATGTCTAGACGTCACACGCTACCTGGCCCGTATCTTCGCACCAATTTTTGATTTGGGGTGGTGCAGTTATCAACTAAATGCCTCTATAATCAGCTGTTCTTCCTCTGTGGAAGTCACGTAAGAAGCGGTGTTTTCCGAGAAACTGTTAATCATGTAGTTGTGAGAAAGATGTTCGTCTTTTTGTATGTGTTATTGAAGGGTTTGTCCTCGTACACTGAAGAAGGCGATACTGCCGAAACGTCAGCTACTGTTGTATTGTGTAACTGCCACGACCGACTTTCTATTAACCTCGGCATTGATCAAGTAATTTTCTTCGTATTTTTGTTGAGCAAACGCGA